TTCTTCTTGAAAGACTAAATCGGTCTGTAAGAAATATCGGGGTGTTTACGGGGTTATGTTATGTCTTCTGAGTACTTGAGATGTTTGATCGTCTTGCATGAATGAATCTTGAGTCATTTGAGAGATATTCTTGTTTCATAAACAGCCACTTTTTGCTTAAGCCTAAAGCAGACTGCAAAGTATGTACTGCAAGCTTCGACCTGTCAAAGTTTGTATATTTTGATACTCATGTAAGTTGAGTAAGTAACGAAAATACAAACACAAACAAAAATACTTTACTCTTAGGAAAACTTTATCTTAATTTGCACAATACAGATGGGTGACAAAATAAACAGAATCAACTTGTAATTAAATGTTAGGCGCACGGTTTCTGTTCCAGAAAATTTATTGCCAATTAAAAAACTTTAATTGAATTTCGCATGGAAAATGTAATCGGACTGAGCCAATTTACTCAGCAGGCCGGGGAATATAACATAGTATACTTTTCTCTTTCTGGGCTGTCTGATATCACGCGCAGAAATAGGTCTGGGTAACGCAGTATTGAGTTGCGCTTTTGAGTTGTTGCCACTCTCTGAGTAAATGAGTTTAATTCATCAGTTAATGAGTTATAACTCCTTTACCGAAGACCGAGACTCGAATTTTAACATCTAAAACGGGACAAACCGGAAATGTTTAAGAAACTTAAAAAGTCTAGGGTACAGAGCGATGAAGGTGACGAGTGTTCCAACTAGTTGTTTATATTGTGGCGGCTTGATTTGTTTTAGCGCACAGCGGCAACGCAGCTTCCAGCGTTTTCGGGACGCCTAGCTCGATACTTCGAGAACGAACGACAATAGTCGATTGGGCTATGGAATTCCCGAAAAATGGAGAATATTCGCAGGTCGTCGAGAGCCCTTGCGCGCTAATATAAATACGGCAAGGCGACCGGAGTGGGATGATTCATACGCAGTTAATCAGACAGCTATACAGTGAAATATTTAAAGCGATATACAGAGTGTGTTCGATTCGCGAGCTATAGTTTTGAGTTAGTGATTAATATAGTTGGTATTTGGGAGTTCAATAAATTGTTGTGTTATTTTATTTGCTTACTGGAATCATTCAAACCCCGGAAAACGTAACAATATGCTCTTGGTTTATCTGATTGATTTTGGGAAAAGTTTTTTCTTTTGAAAAAAACAACAGAACTTTGTTTCGATTCTATCCCAAATTCAAAGGTAAAACGAGTATTCGAAAAAGGCGAAAAAAGTTTTCTTCTAAAATTGGTGATGATTTTCTTGTCTTAATTTTTTGCATAAAACTCTCTGTTTGCTACTATATTACAGTCTTTTAACGTTAGAAACAAACTGGGAAAGGTTTTTCCAAAATTCCCTGCTTAGCGATGAATAAGGTGAATTTTGTCACAAAATTATTTTTATCATTTTTTGGCCGAACAGAGACCATGATTGCCAGGAAATAAAAGAAGCATCTGACAATCATGATTTTTTGCGCTTTTCGTTAAATGCCTTTAATTTTTTAATCGTTTTTTGAGATAACCTTAATGATTCTCAGGAAAAACCGAGATAAATTTACTTAGTTTTTGCCCGAATTCAACGCTGAAAAAATGTATACAAAGCTATAAATGTATCTGATAGATTTTCGCATAAACGACTTTAGTCATAAGACAGTTTGTGAAAAAGGTATTATAAACTTTCGAACTTTCGCTTGTTCTGTACGCTTTTTGATAAAAAATTGTTAGATTTCTGTGCCAAATTCAGTTTTCAAAACTTTTTTCAACGCGACGAACGAGGCGAGTGTTCTAATAAAATTTATTTTGTAATTTTTCGCTTCGAATTTTGGTATTTTAAAAATGCCACTAAAATCAATTTTAAAACAACTGAAAAATATAGATCATTAACGTTTTCCCAGCAACATAACCGAGTTACTGTGCCAGTGCGTGCTCAGCACTGCACAAACTCCTAAAAATTCCCCAAGTTACCGAAGTCTACGCGAAAAGCTTTGAAGTTTGTCCAACAAGACAGGACAATATTTAAACGTCTTGTACAATATTTTTATTTCCTTTCTTTTTCGACATTATAACATGCATTTTGTGTGCGAGTAGAGCCAGACTTCGATTTAAAAAAATATTCAAATTGAACCGCCAAGTAAGAAAGTATTCCCATTCAAAAGTTAGAAAATAATGAAGCTATGCGTTAAATTTGTTAGGAAGTACATTTCTTCACAATGTAAAATATTGAAAGCCCGAAATCACGTAAAACATTCAAATCTAGGAAATTTTCTGATTCAAAATTCAAAATTCAAATTAAAGTGCCTCTATGGCCTCAGCTGTCCTTGCCACCATTCAATTAAGGGGACGAAAAATTGAGAACTTCTAATTTACAGCGTAAGCCAAAAATAGGTTAAACAGTACAGGTTAATTGGTCTCCAAAAGGTCGTCATTTAACTCCGCGTAAACGCGTGTTTTCCGTGTGTTATTGTTTGTGAAGTTGACGGTAACTTTGATATTAGTTTATTCCTGTTCCGTAGTTAAAGTTGTACCGAGTGGAATAAAAGTTGGATACAGAAGAAGGAGTTCGATACTCGGCCATCCACGGTACATTTGGTGTCAGAAGTGGGATTTACCAGAACCCAAGTTAAATTTTGATGGAAACAAGAAGTAAATCAAAGAAGGAAGACCCTGCAATGGAGAACCCCAGTTTGATTGCACTGCTCATGCAGATGAGCAACAAAATGGAAGACAACAGTAGGAAAATGGAAGACAACAGTAGGAAAATGGAAGACAACAGTAGGAAAATGATGGAAAAAATTGACGGAATGAATGACAAAATGGAAGACAGCAACAAAGCTTTGAGCAAAATGCTAGATAAAATGGAAGACAAAGCTAAGAA